GTAAGTTGAGAGATTCCGATTCCAATCACTGGGCAATAACGGAGGCAAATCCATCAGAAATGTCATGTTCAGATGAAGGCGCTTAAAGCTAAAGAGCTATTTTACATAAAAAATATAGACATGCTGTCGACCACGTTTCGTATAGGGACTAGGGACGGACTCTGTGACGTAGGAGCTTTTAAAATATATTACTTCTGGATACTTAGTGTACTATACTGACTTTGTGACGTCAATTGGCCTGTTCTTTTATAAGATATCTTTTAGTAGGTAGTACAGTGAACAGTACATCAGATATTTTGCTGTAAAATAGATTTTTTATTTTATTTCTATAACAACTAGGTACAATTTGATGTGCTATCGTTTATACGAGTACAAAACAACGGATATTTTTATTCGACGATTTTAAGTTCATAAAAGTTTATGCAGCTGACTGTACCTCGTTATAAATAATAATGGAGTGCATCGAAAATGCATATAGAATTCATTTTGTCTAGTGCAATTTTAATTCCATGTCTTGGGTATCCTTTTTCATTATAATTGTTTTAGTACGAGCTTTTTGGGTATAATGGCATATTGGATAGTTTTTAACACATTTTATAAGCTTTCATTTCAGAACTAATAAGATCCTTGTATGCTTGAAGCATATATTTTTATATTAATTTGAGTATAATACCTCTTTTATGTTTTAAATAATAACGTGGGGTTAGCCTTATTTGGTAAAAGTTGCAGAAAATATTATATCACTTTTAATTCATATGACCACTCACAATGCTGGCTGGTAACGCTGTACAACAATGAGCTATCGCATTTGCAACACCAGGGTGGCGCCACTGTAGAGTAAGGTCATGTCAGGCCAGTGGTCCAACCGTTTAAGTATAATAACGATAGCCCTCATTTTATGTATTTGAATCTACCCTCTACACTTTATAAATTTTGAAAATAGAATGTTTCTCTTAATTTGAAATTGGAATCGTAGTTGCCACACATCTTAAACCAATCACAGCTTTCAATTTACTTAAAATGGCGCAGTAGCTTAGTACACAGATTTGAATAGTCTCGAAAACAATTTCGACAAAAACCGCTAAACACAACTAGTGTAACCCATTTCGCGAGACCAGGGGAGCATGAAAAACAAGCAAATAATTAAACAGGCATCGGGTAGCTGGGAGCGAATCGCGAAGTAAGCTGTGGCGAGGTACCAGGACCGCACGCGCGCGAGGAGATAGAATTACGGGGGGGTGGCCTCGAAAAACGGCCTAGCGTCGCGTCGCGAATTTTCGGCAGGGTTACCAACTTAGGAGTTTACCCGGTTTAGGGGCGATTTTTCAATCGTCGGATAACTTATAACTGAAGAATAAGTTTGACACATTGACAGTTTCAGTATGGGAAATATTATGTCAAAAAGACAAGTTTATTATTCAGTTAAAAGTTATTGAACGATTGAAAAATCAGCCCTTAGGGAGAAAAGTGGGGGTTTGGGGTGAATCCCATTTTAGATGAAAAACAAGGTTAATTGTGCCAGTGCTTCAGTGGCATGTGCAGTCATACATGTAACATATTTTTTATTCAATAAATCAAAAAATATCAATTTAGTTCAAGACCTTTTGTCAACACAATCTTGCTCTTGCTTGATCTAGGTGGTAGGGTGATCAGTAATTATAGGTGGACAGACAACCTCATGAAGTAGTAGCGGGAAGGCGTTAGATGCAGGCCGCGGAATCATTGAGGGAGGCCTATATTCAGCAGTGGATGTCCTGTGGCTGATATGATAATACAATTATGATTATTGTAAGTTGGCGTGTAGGTGTCATCTTTTAATCCGTTTCTCGTGATCCAAAAAAATTTTTTGCTTATTTTTGGGAAACTTTTACATCTGGCAACCCTGTCCCAAAGCTTCCTAGCTACGGCGGCGGTTGCTCCGCGCCTTGCTCTTTGAAGTGTTTAAAGGTGGCAATACCGACTGACATAGCGATTGTCTGGAAATTCCCACTAGAATTATACTTGTTTTCACCCGACTGCGTCAGAAGGAGTTATGTTTTTTATTAGATTTTTTACCGTCTCGAAATTTTTACAGGATATTTTACCCATGAATAATACAACTTTCACAATGGGACCAACTATAATATCGCAAAAAATCACCTGTATAATACAATAGTTCAATACAGGTCTACCAAAATGGAAAACGTATTTATTAGGTACGAGTGCAATTTCTCTATTCACAAATAAACACAAATAATGTAGCTTTCTTCGTGGACAATAAATCATCATCATTTCAACAACAGGACGTCACCCTTATTGTTTTCAACCAAGTTTAAAGATGGAAAAAATATAACTATTTCCATCATCATTTCAGCCATAGGACGTCCACTGCTGTACATAGGCCTCCCAAATGATTCCCAGATTGGCCGGTTGTCTCGCTTTTCTCATCTAGCCTCTACCAGCTACTTCTTGAGGTCGTTAGTCCATCTCAGAATCCTAATGCACATAACAGTTGGTAATGGCACCCAGCTGAATATGGATACGTATGCGTGGCACCTCTGCCGCGCCCCCTAGCGGATTTATAAACGTGGTTAAAATTTACCCACGTAGGGATGTGCAAATTCAATAGATATTATATATTTGTTAGCCTTAAAAGTTACACCAAAAGACGGGTAATTTTATCCAGATTCCAAAAATGTGACTCGATAGTATGTAACGGTAATAATGATAAGCTATTTTAGGGAAAATGCGAAACGGGAATTTTTTTTTTTTTCCCGCGGAAAGTGGGGGGCACTTCACGCAGTAGCGCCTTCCCGCCGCAGATCGCTTGAGGGGTTAAGTGATCTTACGCGCTTGGTAAACGTTGATTTTTTTGGGTTTTTGTAACAAATCCAGTTCTGAGGACCTATCTAACACAGTCTGCCCGGGGAAGTAGTAATCAAACTTTAAGAGCGTGATCTGTGGAAATAAAAATGACTCAAATCAAAGACTGACCCGCCTGTCGCCAAATTACAAGAAATTTTTCTTTTTAGGGTTTCGTAGCCAAATGGCAAAAAACGGAACCCTTATTATTTATTTATCTCTCTCTTACACCATCATCTGTACAGTCTATTGAATGTCTTGTTACGGGACTTTTCCCGCCTCTCGTTTCCACCCCTGCAACTCCTGTGTAGCCAGGATCTACAGCTCGACCGCCAATAAAAACCCAACCAGTGAAGGTCAAGTTTGTCCCGGAGGAAAAGTTAAACTGTCATTGGTCGCGCAACGAAATTAATCAGAAGAACATAGGAGGAGTTTGAATGTCTTGTTAGGCATCCATGATGACCATTGAATAGCGATTCTTGTCTTCTATGGAAAGAATCTCCATATTCCCACTACTGTATTGCACAATCTGTACAACTCACCTCTATTGCAACTACATAGATGCCATAATATATGTCTATCTTGATGTGCAGTACTTAGAGGAATGCAATTAGCCCCCGTTTCGTTTCGGTCGTCGGCCGTCATGTTACTGTACGAAGGTAGGTAATGCTTTTCGTGCGATTCGGAATTGAAGCCCGTTCTAAAACTATGCCTAATCTCATCACGATTACAAGTTGCTCGTTTGATTTCGAAATTAAGATGTGAATGTTATACCGAAAGTATAGTGAACTAGCTGTAGCCTTCGTTCGCCTGAAATTCATTTTTGCTGTAAGACCGACTTACTCAATACGATCAAGTTTTATCAAAATTCGTTCAGTAGTTTTTAAAAGAAAGAGCGTAAAAGAGTTACACGGATGTATCCATCGCCAAGAACTTTGATATTTAATACATAAAAGATAGGATATGAAAACTAAATACGGATATTTATCCGTAGTTACGTGTAACGCACATCACTATTGCTGAAAACAAGTCGTTCGTATGTTGATCCGTTACCGCAAGTGAGTTACGAACAGTATATTGTTGCTATAGTTTGATGTTGATAATTGTATTACTTAATGCTACTTACATTATAAGTAACACTCAATGAAATTTCCTTCGTAAGCACACAACTAAAACTCTTACTAATGTTCAAGACATTAAGGTTAGAAATGAATAAAAGTAAGTACAATCAGTAATTTAAAAAGCTCATAGCACATTTTGAAATATTTCGATTAGTTACGATACCTATTAAAAGGAGACTGAAAGAAGATAGGTACCTACTATTAATTTTATTACAGAAGTCTTTGCTTCATCATCGTCATCATCAGATCATTTACATCAGCCTAATTTACCNGTCTCAGACGGAGCAGTTAACCGTTCTGACATTTGTTGCATCATATTCATCATTTGCATGAAAAACTGTGGTGGTACACTACCTGCAGGTAGGTTGGGCATAACCGTCTGGATAAACTGGTGCTGCTGCGGCTGGTGTTGAGAGGTACCGGCGTTCACAGTACCAGGCNTATATCTCGCGAATACCTGTTTTCCGGTTCAAATGTGGTGATGAGATTATTTCTTAACTCTTCCCACGATGCCGTTGTAACCATCCAATCATCGACCCACATTTTAGCTCGTCCTTTCAATAGGCTACCAACCTTCATGCGAATATCGAAGTCGTTGAATGTGTAAGTCTCTACTGCTTTGTTTATATGCTGACACCACTCGCGTACACCGACGTTTGTATCAGGATCAAATGAGGGTAGATAGATATCATTTATTCTTACCTTTGTCTCAGATGGAGCAGTTAACTGTTCTGACATTTGTTGCATCATATTCATCATTTGCATGAAAAACTGTGGTGGTACACTACCTGCAGGTAGGTTTGGCATAACCGTCTGGATAAACTGGTGCTGCTGCGGCTGGTGTTGAGAGGTACTGGCGTTCACAGTACCAGGTGTATCAGGTAATGGTGGAGCAGAAGTGGGTGGTATTTGTTCCGATCCCACTTCTGATGACGGAGAACCGACACCAGAAATGTTTTTAAAAATACTGACGTCAGCCCTGCTGACGTCATTTTCACTTTCCTCATCCATGCACAGCAAAAATAACAAAAATCCAAATGAAACTCACTCAGTTTATTCCACGAACTTGTACAGGTCCAAGATACGTCCGATCGGTCCGGCGGCTCGAGCAAAAGTGAGCTCCGTCCCGACTAGCGGCCGCTCTGTGACGCAAGTGACAATTCCGTTCGCCAGAGGGCGCGCGTGTCGTATTGAAAATCATTTAAAAACGTCTGAATTACGAATTGTCACTTGTTTCTTACAATCATAATTACTTTAAAAACAATCAAGTTAATTATGGTTAACTAATAAACCAAGTTTTAACTCTTTTAATAATCAAATTAATAAACAGTCGATCAATCGATTTGAATCAATAAGAACGTTTCAAATAAAACGATAAAGCGTTATTTCTCAAACTGAAATGAACTAATTATTTAAAAACTATGAAAATTATAGCAAGAATAATAATCTTGAATAAAACTTAAACAATTTTGTCTTATAATTTTACGTTACGGTTATGTGATTTTTATAAATATATCTCGATGCGCCGATACGGCCATTCTGACAGGCGGTGCGCGCCCTGCACCAGCCTGCATCCTTGTGGTGTGTATCTGTAATAATAGAAATAAAAACCTTCTGAAGTTTTTATCTTTGAGCAACTGTGTTGCTTGAAAAATAATCATAATGAAATTGCTTAAATCCACCACGTTACATCTCTATATGCAACCGGTTTGTTATTTTTATGATTAAAGTTATTTGTTTATAAATTGAAATAGTTTTATTACCCAAATTACATTCGACATGCAANTTGAAAAATAATCATAATGAAATTGCTTAAATCCACCACGTTACATCTCTATATGCAACCGGTTTGTTATTTTTATGATTAAAGTTATTTGTTTATAAATTGAAATAGTTTTACTACCCAAATTACATTCGAAATGCAACTGGTTATTTACTTATTCAGAATATGGGGTTATTATGTTTATAAGTTACACTTTGTATTGTTATAATAATATGTTTTTCGACCATCCATCACGTCTGCACACATTTAGTTCTCGGAGTGTCTCGGAGGTTCTCGGAGTTCTCGGAGTGTCTCGGAGTGTCTCGTAGAAATAGGGAAAGGTTTGATGCTGTGCTCTGGGCGGTTCTGTACGCCGTGGTACACAGAGGCTCTATCGGAAGGAACGTAGGACTAGGGTGATGCTGTGTTTATCACAGGGGCTCTAAAATGAAATGTATGGTAATATTAATATGAAACAATTTGTGAAACTTACATGCTTATTGCACATCTTCATTGCTCGAAGGTTCTACCACGAGTATGAAGTCTTCGGGAAGCTCAGCTCGTGAAGCGGACACCTCAGACTCAGGCAGCCCAGCTCGTGAGGNAGCAAGAATAATAATCTTGAATAAAACTTAAACAATTTTGTCTTATAATTTTACGTTACGGTTATGTGATTTTTATAAAGATATCTCGATGCGCCGATATATATTTTCAACAAATAGTAACTTTTGAACAAATATACCCCTCTAGCGGACCCACCCTATTTTTTAAAACTTTCTTTTGATCAAAACCTTGCCTGAAGAATGCAGATGCAATCCATGATCAGGCGAGCTTGCCCACCTGATGCTTATCCACTCGTGGTTGGATACCTTGGGGTTGCATAAATTCTGGAATACTGACGCAAGCGGGAAATTCCACTCCCGGCTGAGTGCAGTCTCATCTAAAAGTAAAAGAATTCGGATTTACCCTTACCGTTTGTTGGTTCTAGTCGAGCTGTGTCGAAATTTTCAGACTAGTTGCTAGTTCACTCGTGTGTGCCGCGATCGGCTGCGGTCCAGGCGATTGGGTCCAGCCGGCTTATGAGGCATTACGTAACATCGTAAGCCATTGGGCCTGTGCCCATTGGTGCACGTCCCACGATATGTGGGTCAACAACTACGACAGAAACGAGCCATATCAATTTATGTGACCGTTAGATAATTCCTGGCAATAGGTGGTGACTGAGTTTGTTCCGGCGTTTCTTCTCAGCACTTGCCATATGTTTGTCTCGAAGCGCTGGTAGGGCCCAAAAGATAAGGAGACATGTAAAGTGCCCCATAAGGGCTACCTTTTCTTTTTTTATTATTTTCTATTGACGTTCATAAGTGCCACTTGTGGTCTAAACTGAATAAATATTTTTGATTTTGATTTTTATTTTTGATTTTTGATTTTGTGTAATACACTTCTGTAGTTCATTCCAATGGTTTCAAAACTAACAACCTGATAGGTAAGCATTTTTTGTGAAGTCCAAATTATTTAGCATAATTCGGCCACGTCCTGAACCTGAAACAAAATGACGTAAGGCTCTACCTTCCTCCAAACCACAGCTCCAAACCATATTATTTTTAATTGAATTTTGGATGGTACGAGGCATGCGTGTAGGCTAACACGAGAAAAAATCATTTGGTTCCCGTTCTTCCCTGTAATTCAAAAAACACAATGGGAACATCCCGGGGCCAGGTACCCGCTAACGACCGTCGTCGCCGGCCCGGGCGTAATTAACCCCGCGATCGACACGTCGGGGCCATAAATCCGGCTGTGGGCTGGATGTCAGAGGTAAGGTGCTTACCCGGGGCAGATCATATCTAGAACCACCTAAAGTCAGGGGTACGTGTGTAAATAAGATATAGTAAGTACTAACCTCTTGATATGATAGCTGCCTGGTTGGTTAATTCTCTTAGGTACCGCCAACTGGCTGAGGGGAAATGCTAGTTATGATGAGCACAGGAATTCATACCCAATATCATAGCAATTTATAATATGCATGTATACTCTTTTATAATGCGAACAGCAAGCGACTGGAATTCACTGCCTGCTGTTGTCTTTCCTGAACATTATAAACCGGGCCTTTTTAAGGCGAGAGTGAATAGGCAGGTATGTACCATCCTAGACTGCAGCATCACTTAACATCAGGTGCTATTGCGGTGAAATACCTACCTCGTCTTTCGTATCTATAAATAATGTGATATACTAATGTTATAAATAGAAGCTAATAAACTGAAGCTCAGAACGTTCCTTCAGCGTTAATAACCCAATAGAGTACGCGGCGAACGACGCGACTAATTAATAGCTAACGAACCGCTAATGAAGGCGACGAATACGCGTCTACTAACATATCTGCACAAATTAGTTACCTCCTGTACAAGATAACTTTATCCAATCATTGGATGTATGTACAGACAGCACACCAAGTCAAATGCTGTGGCATCTTACGTCCTTACCTATTATGTGCTCTTGTGCAATAAAAATGTTTAGTCTAATTGTTGTTGACGGTACATCGAAAGGATCCATACTACTACTCATATTACTATTTATAATTAGTTAAGTTTTTAATTAAATCACTTTTGCAGCAATTCATAGGATCACCAGCAAACTTAGCAAATAATCATGACTGCATGGACCCGATTTTTTTAAAAATAATATAAAGTAATTGACGTCTAGCCAGTCAACATAATTATATTAGTTACTAGCGGCCGCCCGCGACTACGCACGCGTGGATCCAGTTTTACCCCCTTCATCCATCTTACGCGGTTTTTCAAGCGTCTAACTTAAGCGGTTTAGATTTTTTATACAAAAGGATTTTCCCGCTAATTCCCGTTCCCATGGGAATTCCTAAGTATACTATAACCTGCCCATGAGTATGAAGAATAATTGTACCAAGTTTCGTTAAAATCCGTCGAGTAGTTTTTGTTTCTATACAGACAGACAGACAAAAATTTTACTGATTGCATTTTTGGCATCAGTATCGATCACTAATCACCCCCTGATAGTTATTTTGAAGAATTGACCTTTCTACAGATTTATTATAGTAAGTATAGATTAAAATTTCTTAGCGATTAGAGTCGCGTCGCAAACTAAATTATAAATAACTTGAAAAGATTGAACTGCACTTAAAACTTTATGAATCTTAGGCAGTTCGATTTGTTCAAGTTATTTATAAAATGTATAGTTTATAATCAGCTTCAATATAGTTTTGAAAGCTCCGCGGCGATGTGCGACTAATTACTAGTTAACGAGCCGCTAATGAAGGCACAAGCGCGTGCTCGCAGGTAGCACGACATGTGTGTACACTGTACAAGGAGAATAGTGTTGACTGCAAATGTACTTACTCAAGGTTGAACATAGTAAATAGAACTCTCTATACAGAAATGTGATTTCTCCAATATTTTAGAAATAACATATTTATACTAGTTTACTCGTAAACTAGTAATTTTTACTAGTTTACTCGTGTATAGTTGGAAGATCGTGTCCAGGCGCAGTTTCCATTCAAAAACTTTCCTTCTATTTCAGTTCAAAATGTCATTAGGTCACTTTGAGATAATTACACCATGTTGGTACCACTTTTACTAAGGTTGCCGTCGATAAATACTTCTAATCCTTCTTCTAAATTGTGGACCACAAACTTACCCCTATCACAAAAACATACGGGTACACCAATAGTATTTACATGTCGCTGGCTGTGGGTAACTCATACTAACTTTAAAGTGTATTGATCACGCGAAAATCCCGCAAAGTGCAATCCTTGGGTATGATTAGAACTCCCCCTAATCCCACCCTGGGCTTAGAGTTATTGGAAAACTGTGAGATCGTAGAGTTGCGACCCTCCAACTTACCTACTCTCTCTACTTTACTAGTAGCTTGTGTCAGACACGTAAAACAGAAAACTATATATTTTTATGTAATTTTGCAATTAGAATGACTAAGAATAGAAGTTCTAATAATATAAGGTAAGAAAATTTTCATACCTTAACCTATTCCTCGTCATTAATTCAGTTCATTTACATAAAATTTTAAGTTATTTACATTTTGGGTAATGCGCAAAGTAGCAGCCTACGGAATTTAATAAAAATACAGTAAAACAGAAAAGAAGCAATGGGGTTTCCCATTAAAAGGGTAGATATTATTACAACAATGGAGAGAAATTGGACGGGCCCGCTGTATAATAGGCTCTTGTAATATGAACGAACACAAAAACTGGAATGATGAGTGTCTTATTACATTCATCTTAAGATCCTTCATCTTGAATTCATTCTTAATGATTTAATACAAACACACATCCCTATATGCACTTGAATATAATTTTCTATTTGGAAAAAATCTACTCTCCCGTACTATTATCATTAGTCAATTGGTTTTATTCTATGAAACTAACGTTTCTTAAGTATCCATTAAAACCATACCATTCTAGCCATTTTTCAATTATTGGCCCGAGCGAGATGAAACTGTCCATAAAACGAGGAATTAATGAACGCAGGCGCTAAACTCGTGTAACCGCGAGCTAAACAGATTATAATTAACTCCAAAATAGCTGCCATAAATTTTCAATATTCCATCACATAATGGTAAAATATTGGATGCAACGGGATGAAAAGAGAATTCACATTGTCATAACTACTCGTAGCTGTGACTGTGTCTCTACCATGCGCATTGTATCCGTGTTCAAAATTTTATGAGTCGTTCGTAGTCCCTAAAGTATTTACGTTTACTCGTTTAGTACCTACTTTCAAATCTACCAAAAGAAAATGGCAGCTACAAAAAAATACGCCACTACTCCATATAAACCTACCAGCTGTCTTTTCTACCGCACCGCTGCCAGCAGGTTGCAAGTGACAGCAGTCGCCAACTCTTTTAAAATTAACCGTTCCGCAGCAGGCCGGCAGGGGCAGGCAACATTTAACAAGGCTGCTTAAAATTTCGCCCCGTGTGAACAAACTTGCGGTGTTTGTCGCTCCGCGGGAGGACACCTGACTCATTCAATAAAGGTGGATTTATACATATGATGCGACAAAGCTTGACAATATTTATTGGATTAAAAAGGGGAACAATTTCTATTCTGTCTCTCTTTCTTCTTTATTAGTTCTATTTCTTATCATTAGTTCATTCCTTTTACAGTAGTATTTTGATATGTGTGCTACGTGAAGCCCCCGGCAGAGGTTTTATGGCTCCCAAAGAACGTAAAGCAAATAATACCGGTTCATATTTTTCCACGACCAGGTCTAGACTTACAGCTTGTTCTATCCAAATTTATCGTCCAATTAGTCCGAGATATGCATTTACATTATCCGATTTTTAAGAAACATCCACTCAAACATTTAATTTTAAAAGCAATCAGCGTATTATAAACAAGTTCTTCAATAAAGCTATAAAAGTATTTCCCTTTAGCGGTTCATAATGCCCAGTTGTTTGACATATTCCAGCCACCCTGACATTACATGTGACATCAAAAATTATGCCTTTCGACGTGAATACAATCTCTACGCGTTATTGCTTCCTTATTACGCCTGAAGGGGCGCATGGGGCCATAAAGTGGTAATCATTGGGTTCCGTATTTAATAAAAA